CCTTCACATACCTCATGAACCAAACTGATACACCTCAAACACCTTCGTTTTCTACCCAATCACCTTCGTTTAGCACCCAAACACCTCTCTTTGGTACCCAAACTCCTCTGTTTAGTACCCAACACCTCTCTTCGGTGACCAAACTCCTCTCTTTAGTAGCCAAACTAGCTCCACAGCAGATGAAGCTGATGGTGTAGATGAGAGCTCACCATTGAGTTCACGGGAAGCGAGAAGACGATGGTCAAACGCAGAAGATGGGGCGCTGGTTACTGCGTGGTTAAACACCAGCAAAGATGGCGTCATTGCAAATGAACCAGAGAAGCTGCTGCGTTTTGGAAAAGGGTTTGCAACTACTACCATGGGTGTACTGCGGTGAAGGATTTACCGCCACGCGAGTGGAATTCTTGCAAGCAGAGATGGACGAAAATAAACAAGGAAGTGCAGAAGTTTTGCGGATGCTTTGACCAGGCGAGTCGTCAAGCTACAAGCGGCCAATCCGATGATGATGTGTACCAGATGGCTTACAAGTTCTATAACCAGGATATGAAGACCAACTTCATCTTAGAGCATGCGTGGAGAGCTCTTAGAAACGATCAGAAGTGGTGTTCTCTTTATAGAGATAAAGGCAAAACTCAGACCAAAAGATCACAGCCAGCTGGTTCCGTAGACGGCGGTGTCATGGAGGAACAAGTCGAAGAAGACCAATTGGTGTGAAGGCAGCAAAGGCTGCAAAGTTCAAGGCAACTAAGACCGTGAAGAGAACCACCGAAGAGAGAGGCTGCTATGACTAACCTCCAATCCGTAGCTGCTCTAAGTGACAAGCAGTTCGCTAACAAGCACACATTAGCGGATAAACATTTCCTAGCTAGTCTCTTAGGAAGAACGGAACCACTAAACGACATAGAGAAAGCGCTGAAGGATAAGCTAATTAGTCAGATATATCAGTAGGTTTCAATTAAGTTAAATGTCTGTTGCCTTGCCTTTAGACTTATTTTATCGTTTCCCGGTTTCAGACTTGTTTTCATGTTTGTTTTAATTTTATGTATGTATGTCTTTATGTCGTCAGACTTGTTTTAATTGTACTCTGAACCATGTTCTTCTTTTTATGATATTATATTGGCCTTGAATCTTACGATATTATATTGGTCTTTCACTCTGAACGCTATTATATTGGTTTTTAACTCTCTCTAATCAGATCGGTTAATGTTTGTGTATTGGTTTGTGTATGCTTAACGTATGAAGATTTTTTTCTCTTTTGGGCTTTTAAATATCTCTGTTTTCAGAGTTGTTGTGTTTGTGTGTTGGTTTTGTTAATGTTGGTTAATCTCATCTGCTTTCTCCTCTGCTTACATTGGCGTGAGTTTTGATTAGTTAATGTAGTTGATGTTTAACGATCCGCTTCCTTGTTTTTATTATTGCAGGACCTACTTGAGGTGTACAACTCGGAGAAACGCCGGTTAGACTTGCTCAAACTCAAACACAACCATGTTCAGAAGGCATTCATGGTGTCTTACAAGAGGTTTAGGGCTCTTCATCGTCACACAATTCAGCTGAGGGAAGATATGGCCGCCTGTGAGAGGGAATTGATGGATGCAGAGCAAGGTTCCTTGGACTGTGGAGATGCTTCTCGTGAGTCCGATAGAGAGATGGCGGAATGTATTGAGCATCTTAAAGACACCTCTGCGAAGATGGGAGAGAAGTGGGAAGTGGTGAAGGAATCCTTACTCTTAGGTAACACTTTCTCTCCATGTTTGCTTCGATTTGTTTTTAAGCTAAGTATGGTTTAGAGTATATGTGTTGATGGTAACTAATCATGTTGTTTGCATGTATTTAGAGTAAAAAGAATGAGCCAGCGAGGATCAAGATAAGAGCAAGAGATGGTGGAACTGTTTTATTCTTGCCAAATTGTTCGATACTCTGTTTTTGTCAAGTTGTTCTATACTCTGTTTTTGTCAAGTTGTTCGATACCCTTTTTTATTCTTTTAGCAACTTGAATTGTACTTGTGTCGGCCACAAGAAAACGAACAAACTTTTCAATGTGTCTCGGCCATAAGAAAACGAACAAATTTTTCAATGTGTCTTGGCCACAAGTTGATGTGTCTCGGCCACAAGTTGATGGCCATGTTTCACTATAAAACCTACTCTTATTTCAATATCTTTTTATATCTCTCATAACAAACTATCTCTCTTCAAACTCTCTCAAACACCTCTCTTCAAAACACCTCTCTTCAAATTCTCCATTGTACCTCTATTCAAACTTCTCATTTCACTCATTCAAACACCATATTCTTATCAAAATTACAAAGGAAAACAAAAATGGCATCATCTTCATACAATCCTTTTTCATTTGATGATGGGTTTGAACAAGCCTTAGATGATTAGTTTGAAAACTCATGGAAGAGTGTTTAGATGATATAAATGAAGTTCTTGAGCCAGAGAAGAGAAGAAAGAAACGAGCGGTCATAGATCGAGAAGTGAAGAAGGGAACATCCGCTTGATCAATGATTATTTCAGTGAGAATGCTATCTATCCCGAGGCCATATTCCGACGTCGCTTTCGGATGAACCGACCATTGTTCATGCGCATAGTTAACAAGCTATCCGACTTACCCTTCTTTCAGCACATACCGGATGGTACTGGAAATGGGTCTGACCGGCTTACAAAAATGCACGGCCGCCATTCGTATGCTGCATATGGCAATGCAGCTGATGCAGTCGATGAATACCTCAGACTAGGAGCGAGCACTGCGCTGAAATGCTTGCATAAATTTGTCAACGCAATCATCTTTTTTACGAGGAGGACTATCTCAGAAGGCCTACACCAGCAGATCTCAAACGATTACTCAAGGTCGGAGAGAGCGTGGATTTCCTGGCTCAATAGGAAGCATTGACTGTATGCATTGGGAGTGGAAAAATTGTCCCACGGAATGGAAAGGGCAATATGCACGGGGTCATGCAAAACCAACAATCGTTTTAGAGGCTGTCGCGTCGTATGATCTGTGGATTTGGCACGCATTTTTCGGACCTCCAGGTACTTTAAACGACATTAATGTTCTCCACCGCTCACCCGTGTTTGATGATATATTAGAAGGTCGAGCTCCTAAGGTGTCATTCTCTGTTAATGGACACCGATACAAGATGGCTTACTATCTCACAGATGGTATATATCCGGAATGGTCCACTTTTGTCAAACCAATTCCTCAGCCAGGAGAACCGAAAGCAAAATTATTTTGTGCCCATCAATCGTTTGCCCGCAAAGAAGTTGAGCGCGCTTTTGGAGTCTTGGAGTCTTAGGACACATGCATCGCAGAGACCCATAGGGGTTCTAGAAAACAAATAAAAAAACAAATTATTTAATGATGTGGCAGTCCATGTGGCGAGATTCTCCCAGAACCGTCTCTCTGTGCAGAGACTGCAGAGTCGTCTCTCTGACATATCTCTACACGTGGCGTGATCTGATTGGATCGTTCTTTATTTTATTTTATTTTTTATTTATTTTTTCGAAAATTATTTTTTTTTTAGTTATTTTAAACTTTTAAAGAGCTCATATCCAATATGTGCAATGCATGCGCTCTTACAAGCTCGGTTTGCAATTGTTGAAAACCCGTCTCTTACAATGAATAAGCAGAAGATAGGGAATATAATGAAGGCATGTATCATATTACACAATATGATTGTGGAACATGAAAGAAGCATTGAAACTCAGTATAACCAAACAGAATTTCAACCAGGAGGAGCAGACGGAAGCGGGTCTTCACAAGTACATCCCATGAACGCTTGCCGTCGAATGTCCACAATATTATGGTTAATCGAGCTGACATTCGTGATCAACAAAAGCATCACCAATTGAAAGCTGATTTGGTTGAACATATTTGGAACAATTTGGTTCTTAATCATGTTTTCATATGGTTTACAACATATATGTTTATTTTTATTTTATCTCTCTATGCGGTTTTGTCCCCATTTTATATGTAATAAATGTTGTATTTGTCTTTTTAATAATATATGAATAATATTGTTTTCCTCAATTTTTGAAGTACTTTCAAAAAAAAAAAAAAAATTAAAGAAACTCATATGAAATGTATAATATTGTGGCATAATTATCAAGTTTCTTCCCAAATTTCTTTAACTAAAATAATAATTTTTTTAATATATTAAATTTGGGAAGAAACTCATATGGATATATGCAATGCACTTCCTCTATAAGGTGGGTATACCCTCTCACCTAAATACAACCGAAAAATATGTCCTCTAGTGCAAATACTCTTGGTATTGAGAAATATCACCCAAAAAAGAAAAGAAAAATCGCAATCGTGAGCATTATTATCTCAAGGAAATAATCTGAGACAGAGACACGATGACAGGCCACGTGTCCTCAAAACTTAAAATCCTCAACAACGGCCATTTGCTAAAATTACACAGAACAGAACACATGCATTGCTTCTTGCATCTTCATCTATGGCGTCTCCAATTTCTCATCTCCTCAAGAAACTCAAAACCTTCTTTCTAATTATTTTGCTAACCACCACTGTCGTAGTAAGCTCAGAACAACAACAGTGTCGGAATTTCCAATCGATTATCAGTTTCGGAGATTCCATTGCCGACACCGGAAACTTGCTCGGTCTCTCCAACCCTAACGATCTTCCTCTTGCCGCATTTCCGCCGTACGGAGAAACTTTCTTCCACAGCCCCACCGGGCGTTTCTCCGATGGCCGCCTCATCATTGACTTCATCGGTAAATCTCATTTTATCTCTCTAATTAATTGTCTTTTTTTTTTTTTAATGATTGTTTTTATTATTGGTTTCTGTATGCAGCTGAATTTTTGGGGCTTCCTTATGTTCCACCTTACTATGGATCTAAAAATGGAAGCTTTGAGAAAGGAGCTAATTTCGCTGTAGCTGGAGCAACCGCATTGGAACAAGACGCTCTTGAGAGCAGAGGAATTCATACTACTTACACCAATGTGAGTTTACAAGTTCAGCTTAAGAGCTTGAAAGAAAGTTTACCAAATCTATGTGCTTCACCTTCAGGTAAAGTAAAATGAAGATCAACACTGGATTGGTTTGTAATGGTCTCTTTCTTGTTATGTAATTTTTAGTTTTTATAATAGATTGCACAGAAATGATTGGCAATGCTTTGGTTATCGTTGGAGAGATCGGAGGGAATGATATTAACAACGGCCTCATAGCTGGAAAAAGCCTCGATGAGATCAAACAGCTGGTTCCGCTAGTGATCACTACTGTTTCTTCTGTAATTACGGTAAACATTCTCTTCTTGATCCAGTTTCTTGATCTTGCATAATCAGAATCTTGAAACGCGTACTATTATACAAATACAATAGGAGTTGATCAATATGGGAGCAAGAACGATCATGGTGCCTGGGGACTTCCCAATCGGATGCTGGACAGTGTTTTTGACGCTGTATAAGACATCAACTAAAGAAGAGTACGATCCTTTAACAGGATGTTTGAAATGGCCTAACGATTTTGTACAACAACGCAACGAGGAGCTTCAGAAAGAACTCAACAGGCTTCGGAAACTTCACCCTCACGTTACAATCCTATATGCTGATTACTATAACACTGTGTTACGTATTTTCCAAGAACCGGCCAAATTCGGTTAAGATCAGTTTACCAACTCTTTTTTTCCTTCGGTTAAATTTATAAATAACTAACCAAGTTTTTCTAAATTGATTCTTCTTGTGATTGTGAATCAGGGTTCATGGACCGACCCTTCTCAGCTTGTTGTGGAACCGGAGGTCCGTACAACTACAATAGTGTTACTCTGTGTGGGTCTAAAGGAGTGGATTGTTGTGTTGATCCGACTAAGTATGTGCATTGGGATGGTGTTCATTTGACCGAGTCTGCGTACCGATGGATCGCCACGGGTTTACTTGAGGGGCCTTACACGGTTCCTGCTTTCGACTGGTCATGCCTCGGCTCTGATATCAAGAAGGGATCATCAGGCAAACAATTTTCTTCTAGCAGTATGTGATGCGAGTTGTCCTCAAAGCCTTTGTTAGAGAAGAAGAAAGTTACTGCAGAGTGAAGAGTTGTATTGTGTATTATATCATATTTCTCTTCATGTTTTTCATGGTTATACAAATTCAAAAACACATTAAAAATGATGTAATATTAATATATGCAACTAGGAGAGCACCCGCGCAATGCGCGGGTTTTTGTTTCAATTTTTTTTATTTATTCTTGATATTATTTTGTTTTGTTTATATATTTTGTATAAGTACAAAAGTCTCTTAATATTATGGGTAAAATTTCTCTAAATATTTAACAAATGGAACACTATTTTTGTTATTTATTTTCCTTTTTTAGTTTGTAATATTATTGTTTTGTTAGAATTTCATGTTAACCAAAAGTGAAATATAATTGTAGTATTTGTAACGAATAAGATATAATGCTTAGTTTGTTCTCTCTTTTAGTTGAGTGCTTATTTTAGATATGTTCCTCTCGAGGCACATATGATGTGCTTATTTCTCTTTTAGTATTTGTAATATTCGTATATGATGTTTTATATAATAGTTAAGTGAGTTGAAAGTATGTTTAGCACTAAAAGTGTATTACAGCGTTCATAATATGATTAATTCTTATATATTTGTGATTTATATGTGAAATTGTAAACGAACTTTGATAGTGTTGTAAATTGCTTCTCGTAATGTTTTTTTTTTCGAGGAAGCTCGCCATATTTGCTAGATCTCATCTTTATATATAATCAGTGATCATACGTATTATATGTTAGTCTAATAATTATTTTTGGTGTTTAATTGATAATGAGAAACAACAACCAATAATGCCACTTGTAGTATGACGCGCGATCACAACAAA